TCTCCGCTAATGTCGTTCGTCATTGAAATAGGAGAAGCGTGTGAATGGTGAGTGACTCCTTAAGTCTACAATCACGTTTTTCAAATTATTAGGCATTAACATGAAGAGTCGGATCGGCCAGCTGTCGCCGGGTGATCCCCTTTGATGCCACCACCCCCCCCTTCGCGAGCTAGAATGGGCAAAACGTGCCAAATGGTCGCAAGGCGTTTTTCAACAAAAAAAATGTGGAGAAATAAATCGTAATTAGTTCTTATCAGTAATCACTTATGCACATCTTGTCGCCTAATTAATATCGACTGCTAATCGAGAAGATGCTGCAACATATAATCAATGACCGTAGTTTAGCTGTGATATGAGGATGGATAAAGCTGAGGCAGCCCGGATGAGCAGTGCAAATGCAGAGCATTGTTACCTTCAGAAGAGGCACAAGTGTCAAGCCAGGGAGCTAAAGCGGGACTTGACTTTGCTTTGTTCATGTCAAAGTGTGCATCACATGGGGAGCTTACATGTTATCATCGACACCCGACAGGACTTCCCCACACCGAATCGTTGGTTGCCCTTCTTTTTTGGTTTGCACCTCCTCCCCCAAACGCTCGATTCCATTGCATGCATTAGATGCATCTACATCATGATCGCCGTTTTGATCTGAAATGTAGTGAGACGGCCTTTTATCTATTTTTATCAGTTGATATGATTACCGGTCATCCTTCACCAATGTACCCATCACTAACACTCTTCAACCTGATAGCGTAGAAGAGCAAAACGGCAAGGTCCCTTATTGGCCCCTATCTGTTGTTGCCACTTTCTGCCACACGTATCCATTTTCCTGTCTCACCCTCTATATCGCCTGCTAGAACCAAAGACTTGCTGATGATGTGCCCCGCACTGTGGATAGGGTGACTTTCCCGCTTTGAAGCCTCTTATCAAATTTTGTTCTGCTGCCAACAGTTCATGTCACCCACCAATAATGTTGTTGTCCATGTTGTCCCATACCCAATATCATGTCTTGGAACCAAATTCTCACTGCGGCTGGGTCGAACGCAATAAATTTCGTGAAAGGAAGACAGACGCCCACTCAAACACACAAACACACGCAATTACAGGCATATTTAGCGAATCATCATCACCCACAACATAAGGGGGGGGGGCAAAAAAGTCACTTCGACCGAGTCACATATCAGCAAAGTTTTCGCAGCCCAGACAGAGGACGTGGATACGAGTACCAGGGCGGAAGATACCCAAGATGTTCCTCGATAAGCAGGAGCTGGCTCTCGCCCATCACCTTCATGTACACCAAAATATGAAGTCATCTCCAGTCGCAGCCTGACTGGAGAAGACCTTTGGAATTCATGTCACCTCCAAACAGCTGCGAAACTTCTAGTATGGAGTCACCCATGGAGACCAGTACTCGATCTGGAAGACCTCCAACATCGAGCAGCTCCGACAACGTCGCTACGGTCTAGGACATCATCTTCACCCAGTCGCCAAGGCGCGGGTTGATGGTGGGACGGAAGCTGGCGGTTACATCGAGCAACTCGAGAAGAATATCCTCCCTACATGTCGTCGCCCGTACCTTCTTGGAAACTTTGTACTGCTACAGGTTGGGTGCCACCACATGGAATCGAAGGGCGTTGGAAAAACTCTCGCCTACTTGGAATGGAAGGGCGTTGAGTACCTGAAGTGTGTAAGTGTGTCACCTGACCTAAACCCCCTCAATTACCCGGTTCGGGCGGAGCTCAACAGGGTGGTCTACAGTGGCGGAGAAATCAACGATCTCGCTGAACTCAGGTACCACTCACGGTCGCGTGGCAGAATCTCTCGATGGCGCTCGTCCAGAAGGCTGTGGCGGAGTGTCATGATAGTATTTAATATGCTCTTTAATATGGTGGTAGAAATGTCCGATCAGAATTTAATAAAGTGTAACTTATAGCGCCTCGAAAGTCAAGGAAGGAAAAGTGACTTTTTTGCCCTCCCCCACCCTGTATAATTTGCTTCGTCTGTGTGTGCTTGTTCGCTCGTTAGTTTGTAATGAAGGAAAGGAATCACAACTGATATGGGCAGAGGCAATACGCCGTCGTTCTTCTTCTAGGTTATGCAGCTTTCATCATATAAAATCACTGATGCTTGGTGATAAGGGCCTTGCTGACGGATGACTGGTGATGATATCAAATGGTAATTTTCTGAGAGGCTATTTTCACTACATTTCCTGAGTCCGTATTGCGGCTTCAGAGACTTATTTAATAAAATTTAAAGGCAAGAGCCTCAGCGTGCAGTGAGAACTATACGTACAGTGAGAACCCATTTCTTTATCTACATATTAGGCGCGGAAAACGAATGAGTTGGGTGGGACTTCCGGGGAGGTGGGGGAAGGCGGGTAGAAGGGTGTTCTTCAGAACGAATCGCGACTACCTCTTTCTGAAGGTAGATCCTATTCCATCTAAGAGGGAGATATGGTCAAAGGTACCTAGCGAAAGCCTTCTGTAGGTGGTGTGCTCCTCGGGGCTTCCCGTGTGATGCACGCGCCAGTGCACACGCCACCCCACGTGTGCAGCAACGCTTCATTTTAAGGCAAATGGCGCGATAAATTCCTAAAACGTGCAGGACTGATCCGCCCAGCAGGACGAAGCGCTCTTTGCGTGGCGCCTTTTCCAATAAAGGCACTTTTATAGCGCCCTATCAAGCTGTAACGACCCCGACGCCCACTGCGCCCGCCCGCCCACAAATGGACGACCGTACCTGATGCTCGTATTGCTTCATTTGCTAAGTAAAGTATGAAGCGAAGGGATTGATATGAAGCGGCTGCGTGTTGCATGGATATATGAGTACATACATGCAGCCGTACTCACCGTAGCGGTGACTGGCACGATGCCAACAAGAAATTCGTCGGGAAATGCCGTCTGAGCCGTGCGGACCAAAGGCTTTTTGCGCCACCATTTTAGACCGAGTACGAAATTAGCGTGCCTTCAACCTACTACGCTGAGTGCTCAGCCCATTCTTTCTGATAAAAAAGCGACGTCGGAGTACGACTTAAAATTGCATAAAAGCCTGAGAGATGCTGCGACATGCTACCGCGAATAATTTTTCATCCTCACAGATCAATTCGTCGGCTATCACGGCAAGAGCCGCCATGCAACCTTTGACTGCTTTGAATTCACATTTGTAAGCAGCATGTCTTGCTTTGTTGACACTTTGTCACCATCGATGGTAGCCCGAACTTTTTCTTAATTACTAAGGAGGATAGGGAGTGAAAAGCCGCCGAGTCAACATTCCTAGACCACCAGACGCCATGTTCTGGCCTGATCCTCTCGCCGTCGGGTGTTACATAGCTTTTTTGACTGAAGAAATAGCGAGTTCCAAAGGAGGAGCTGACGAAACGACATACCAATGTTGTTTTTTTTTTGATTCGAGGGCGGTCCCCAATGGGTGCATGTGAACGCCAGATGAGAGTTGGGGAGGTAACCGCCTACCCTCGCCCGGCTCGGAAAGCCATCCAGTAACATACATCATTGATTGGCTCGTCTGCTTCGAAGAAACTCATATGTGAGTCAAAAGCGTGCGCATAGCTGATGCTCGTTTCATGTTCTGCCACCGGGCAACCAGATGTTTGTCAGCTGGTTCTGCAGTCATTGAGATCTTCAATTGAGCCTGGGATGTCTCTTGTATAGATTCAAGGCTTTGGCTTCAAAGCGTTCTCGATAATTCAGCGGGATGCTTCTACTCCTTGGCCGGTAACATCGGAAGGATGTCAGTTGGATGCCATTTCAAACCTCTCGTCGGTAATGTGGATGTTTGCCGAATGTTTATGAAAAACTGAAATATATGCCCAGTTTGCTGAACGAAGCTCTGGTAACGTCGATTTTTGCAGACTTCATAGACAATTCCTCTCGAATACAAGAAAGCTATGCAAGGAGATTGTGGTTCGATCCGTTGCGGAACTCTGGAACACCACCAGGGACGTCGCGTAAGCAAGCACTTCGATTAGAGATAGTTTTGCCGGCTGTCCTGAGGAAGTGTTGACGAGGAGAACTAAACATGTCTGGCTTAGTATGCAGGAGTTGAAGTAGTCACACAAGTAATCTAGGTTCAATCATTTGATGCTTTGGTGAGACGGACGTGCATAACTAACAATAAGTATGTATAATGCAAGAGGTATGCGTCAGCAAAGTCGACTGTGTATACTGTAGTTCGCTGCGGACGGTGGGGCGTGTCAGGCAGTGTGCCACGTGAAAAACCCCTTATCTGCCAGTGTTGAAGCAGGCACGCGACAACACTTGTTGGGAAACGAGTGATACGAAAAACACGACACAGTCTTGTCTTTTGCTCGCTTTAACGTCACTGTGAGAAGGGATTGGCATCCGCGCGAACTCATCGGCCACTGCCTGACTCCCACCGCCACGTCCGCAGCGGAACTAGACACTATACCAAGAGGTATACAGCACTATTTCGAGTTTCCTTTTTGTAGCTGATTGGTTTTAGGGAGATAATAGGCCAGCTGAGTACAGTGAGATTGTACTGCAACAAGAGCTGGAAAATCTTTGATGCATAACTGGGTTATTTTTTCTGTGTCTCACTTCTGTGTACTCTCCTAACACATTACCTTTTGCAGGATGAGGATTTGCTTCGACAAGACTAAAAGATAAATGGTGCGAAAAGGAAGGGAACATCCTCAACATCCTATTATATCACGAGATTTTTATTCCAACAGATACAGGCCAGTTAGCTGCACGTTACACCACTCGTCCGGGAGCCTTATCAGCTCTGAAAATTTCCTCACGAGTTGTCATTGCAACCAACCTTTTGGGGTAGAAGATAGGTTATGTTTCAGCTCTGATCCAAGTGTGGTATTAGCTGAGACTATTGCAATAATTGATTTTTGGTCTCAGAATGCGAGTTCAAGAGATCCTCTCTTGCAGTCCGCAATGAGTAGCAAGTAACCAAATGCAAACGCACCTGAGGCACTGCATATTGTTTTTGGTCCATTCTGATGTCGGATTAATACCACGGTCAAAGCTTCGATGGGAAGAAAGTTGCTAGTCTGCACACAGCGGAATTTTCGGTTCGATACTTCTCGGCTAGATACATATTCGAATCAAAGCTAGGTCCTGATTATTGACTGTTTGCGAATCCACTGGAGAATGAGCTTAACATGGAAAGCTGCCAAAGCTCTACTCAATCATATGGGACTTTATCTGCCAATCATTTGTGGAGTGTAGATACTCATGGTGAAAAAAAACGTGGTCTGCTATAAGTTTAGATGAAACGGAGAACATCGGTACCACAAAATCGCGCGCACAATTAAGCTTATCGATCCTGTTAAAGACACATGGTACGATCACACATAGTTTGGGTGACTAACAGCCCCCCAGCTGTCGAAGTCGTAGCGGGTTTCCCCGTCCTAACATGCGCAGATACAGGTCTGTGAAACACGCTGATTCCTCTATGCTCCTCCCAATGCCTATTGCGGCGCGGACCCCCGACCCCCGCTCATGCTAACAGCCGTCGTGTGCGCGCGTGTCGCGTGCAGGCAGCTCTTGGCACTTTGCCAAGTCCTGTAATTGCGCTTTGGAATACAAGTAAAACGCAATTTCCTGATGCGGATAACATTTAGGTGCTGCAAAATAAGAACCGAAGATGATGACGAGGGCCAGAACTCAAGAGCAACTGTGCTGCTTCTGCAATATCCCGGAGGCCGCGCATTCCCACAAAACATGAAAATAAAAACGGCCCACTCTAGTTTAATACAAGCAAAACGCAATTTCCTGATGCGAATAACATTTGAGGTGTTGCTCATGCTTCAAAGTCCGAATAGAAGGTGAAGATGACAAAGGCTAGAAATGAAGATTAACAAATGCAGATGTCTTCTTCTTCTTCAGCGTTTGTCCCCTTGATCGCGGGGTCCGCTCTTTTGATACAACTACGCCACTTTTCCCGATTGGATGCCTGATCGGGGTGAATGCCGGCTATTTTCAAGTCGGTATGCAACGTGTCGAGCCAGCGCTGTTTGGGACGCCCCTTTGGCCGCTTTCCTGGTACCTCGAGTTCGAGAGCAGTTTTCCGGACGGTGTCAGCCTTCGCGCGAAGTACGTGCCCGTACCATCGAAGGCGCGTTTCACGCATTTTCTCT